CACACCCCCAAATGAAAGAATAGACCATTCCAAGCTTTTACTTGTTGTTAAACAAATGTTTAAACAACTCTATTCAACAATGATATTATAGATTTGTGTCAGACATTTTTATGGATCTGATGGGGATCCTGTGGATGATCATCCTACTGACAATACCTCGGTGAGTGACAATTATGGATGTGAGGGATGGATCTGCTTCACCCAGTGATGTTCCAGTTACCTTAAAGTTAGTTGTGGCTTGAAAAACATGATTGCTAATTGTTTGGATTGCTTCTGAATGAGAAAAACTAGATATTTTGGGTTTTACGAGTAGGAAGCAAATGGTCGAAAAACAAGAATAACGAAGGTGGGCAACTGTCATAACCGACTGCCCATTGCACCTGTAACTAGCAGGGGAGTGTACATGTCTTTATCAACAGTAAAAGCTAATAATACTCTACATAATCAAAATCGGCAATAGAAATTGGGCCAATTGTGCACTATAATATTCAGCAATCAGTAACTTCCAATTGTGACATGATCAGTAAAACAGTACCAAAACAACTCTGAAAAAATGCCTATTTTGCCAGAAACAATAGAGCTGGATAAAAATGTACAGCCAAAAATGCAATCTACAGACCAGAGTATAAAATTTGTGGAAAGTCATACATCAATGAAACAAAACAACTCCAACATACCTTCATCAGTGCCCTAAACAAATGGGAACCAGCAAAATGTTCTCCAACTGAACATTATTTAAATAACCATGGTTTTCCACTATTGAGTGAACCTTGCCCTTTCAACATCAAAATTCCAGCAAAGACAAAAGACTTAAAAGAAAGAAAGTTCACCAAAGACAAAAATCCTAAAATCAATAGAGACAAAGGGTGGTGTATATAATCAACCTTCCTTCGTCAAAGCTAACACATCCAGCTCGCTGAAACTACTTTATGTCAGTGTATTTAATGTTTGATACAAGTTTATTTTTATTTGCATCTCGTTGAAAACACACAGCAAATTCAACTTGTAACTTTTATAAAAATATATATTTTATTATATATAAAAATAGTTTCATACTTTAAACAATACACAGTTGAAAAACATTCTGATGTGTTTTTAATGTACCTTAAACTAGAATGAAAACATTAGTTGCATGTTCACAAATCTCCATGTGTGTTCCTGCACTGTATCCCCTTGATGAAATTGTACAACCAAAACATTGGGAAATAAAAGTTTGTTTCATCCAATTACTCAAGAATGTCAAAAATACTTCAGTTTGCACTACAAAAATTACAAAATGGAAAAACATATGATCATATCTGATTGGTGATTTGCCAAATAGGAGCTATATTACAAATTCTGAAGAAGCACAAATTATGTTTGATAGCTGCTGTTTTTTCATGGAGTATAATACCAAAAATTAGTGACAGAAAAATCCATTTCAAAAGAAAATTCCAAACCTAAACATTTTGGAGATTTTTTTAGTACATAATAATATAAATGTGGTCAAAAACTTCAAATGTCAACAATACATCGAATATTAGAAGATTTTTATCCAAAATTTGGGAGAAACCATTAGATAAAGTTAAATTAAAGTATAAATGATTTAGCTTTGTAATATAAGTTAACAGAAAATGAAAAGTTCAGAGAAAAAAAAGTGAAACTTTACGTGATACTTAAGGCATTTGTCACACCTTAGACAAAACACACTTCAAAATATACAAAAACTAACTCAAAGTTATTTGTAAAGCCATATGGCAGAATTCAGTTGATATTCTTTGAGGAGGTTCACACTCAGGTATAGTAAATGAATCATGAACAGTCTGTGTGGAATATCCTGATTTGTTCTAGTACAGATGCACTAAAAAAGGATATCTCAAACCTCCCATATTTTTAAGATAGATAACAGAATGGCCTAATGTAATTGGGTTTTGCTTCACTGATATGCTGTCTTCAGCAAAGTAACTGGGATATTCAACTGAATGTTACCCTTTGGCCAAAGCAAATGAGAATATACCCACTTTCCATATTACATGTCAATGAATGCCAAATTAAGCTTTTTTTAGTAACCTTATTGTAAATCCTGTTCAGAGGATGTGTTTATAAGACTTGAAGATGTTTTCTGACTAATCAATTGTGTGAATAAATTTACAAAGGCCAGTAAGAAATTAAGTTTCTCTTACAAAACAACAAAGAGTCCCCAGTGGGTCTGGAATTTTAAGTAAGAATTTGGATTTCAAATTTACAACCATAAATTTATCTCTTTCTATAATTTTTCTATCACATTCTACACTTCATAATTTCTGTAAACTTTTATCCTCATGATAACCTTTATCTGAATTATTGCAAAGAGCTTTAACAATTTACAGCATTTATTACCAAACTTTCTCATAATAAATATTTTTTGTTTTTCACCTCTTGTTTTTGATAGTAAAATCAGTTTATCTAGTGTCACCAATAACATAATAAACCATACAAATTTATAATCAGAGCAAACATCCACAGAGCTTAAGCTAGTCTACATAAGTGATACACTAAAGACTTAAGTGATAAATATAAACAGTAAATTCACTAAAGCTTTGAAAACACACTATAAGAAAAATAATTTAAACAAACTGAACATTATATTTTATCTTTACTTCTATTTATCAAAACTATGAGTAAAAAATGACTTTCGCAGTGGTTATGATATTTTTCATTATTCTACTATCTATCTAAGTTATGTTACCATTTGTCATGATAAATACATTTATTTTGGTTTATAAACTACTTTTTGGCTGCTATTTTATATTACTATTATAATTTGATATTTTCTTTTAAGTTCATAAAATACAATTTCAACTTACTCCAGGATTTCTTCTTTAATTGCAATGTTACCATTCACCATCTTCTGAATGATATAAGCATGGTCTTCTTCGGATAAATGTTCCCTAGAAACAAGGGGCAAATAGTCTGCTGGTTGAATAGGGTCACCAGAGTTTAACCAGAGATCACGGGCAATATTCTCTAGTGTTGCACGCTTTTCAGGGTCTCTAATAAGCATACTTGATATCAACCTGTCCCAAAAATGATTAAAAAGTTAAATTTTCTGAATAATTAAACATAACAGAACTTAAAGAAACAAAATTACAGTTACCTCCACTTTAACTTTTAATAAGTAAATAAAAAATATAAATTAGTGTGCAAATTTATTAAAACACCTCAATGGTTGTCATTTTATCAGTTTTACACACAAAATAGTCATTTATTTGCTATAGAAATTAATTTGTAATTATTGCAAATTAATCTTACAGGAAACTATTGAGTACACAAATAATGGCTTAAAGTTTCTTTAATGTTAATATTTAGTTTAGCAGCTTTTGCCATCAATAATATTTTGGAATCTTTGTGGAAAGGTCTTTGGTGTAATTTGATTCCATTTTATCTTGAAAGTCAAAAAAAAAGAAAACATAAAACAACATTTTACCAAAAAAAAAAATGTCATTTATTTAGGAGGTTCTAAAAATGAAATATGAAAACAGTAAGATGAAAATGAGTATTTTTATTCTTGGCATGAATATCACCTTTCACTCAGACTGATTCACTGAAGGCTTCATAAATTTCCACACAAATCTTTAGTCAAAATACTTTATTAGAAAAACATGATTTTCAGTGTAAAATAGACTTGTCATGTTTACTAAATGTCTGTTAAATATCATGAATGTACATATAGTAAATTCAGAGTTATTGCGTGTATAACCAACTACATCCTTATAAGGTTAAACAGACCACTGGAAACAATCTATACTACTGACTTAGAAATTATCTGAGTGTGCTACAATGTTTTTTAACCTAAACAATTATTTTAGCCAACAAATTCATGAAGTTAACTTCTAATTAGGCTCCAACTTGTTTTCAATGTATAGCTAAGCCCTGGATACATGTAAAAAGTTTAACTTGTATAGCCAGATTATTATTTTTTTAAATTTAATTCTAACATCTTTTTATGTTTTATTGGCTAGTTGAGTTAAATGGTCTTTTAAGTAATTAATTGTACAATACTGCAGCAAAATGCACACTTCAGGATCCAAGCTGCTAGATTGTTATAGATTGTTACGTACATACATCTTCTCTTACTCATGCTAGTCTGCCCTATTTTTTTTTTTGGGGGGGGGGGGGAGAGTGGCACATTATGCAGTTTATCTTAGCACAAAGCTACACAGTTGTGGTGGTATTTTGACATACTATGGTTCCTACCCTCTTGTTTAACATATAATTTTTCATAACTTCACAGATGCAGAAGTATGTGATTACAACACACAATTTGTTTCTTTTTCCCACGCTACCTATTTTAGATAATTCACTTGTGGTATTGCATGCATTTCTCATGAGAATTTCCGTAAAGTTCAATTTCTTATGTACATGTAGACAGTGATCTTTTCTAGTGGCAGATCAGGTAATGCCCTGAGGATGTAACCTTGCTTACTTTTTGATGGGAATGACCAACAGTCACAAAAGTAGTGCATAAACTATCAGAACAACAGCATTATTGTTTCTTGTATACATATTGCCATGTTTTCTCAATCTGGAACAGTTCTTAGAAATAGACCTCCATTTCATAATATCTCTTAAACTTTACCTCACTGGACAGATTGTAACATTTATTTTAAAATTCCAAGGAAATTATTATGCCAGTAGTTACTTTTTAAATAAAGTGTGTTTTGTGGCCAAAAAAATACCCAGCAGGGCACTGTGTGTTATTAACTCTTTCAACCCGGGCTTGGTTTCTGGGACTGATCTCATAACCATTTTATGCTTGTTATAGTTTTCATGCTATAACTTTTAAATTAGTAAGCGAACCTTAACGAAGTTTGGCAGTTTATCAGTAAACATTACAATGCTTTCCTCCACAAAATATCTAATCTTTTATTAAGTCTTAAGGTTTTTAAAGCAATGTTTCTCTCATGCCTTTTTTTTTCTTTTCACACCTTGCCTATCTATCATGCAAAGTAATTTTCATTTTAAGATTAAAAATACTTTTATGCATCAGAAAATTTTGAAATTTCACAAAAGTCTGGACAGTTATCAAACGTTTTTTAAGAAAAAAAACTTTATATTTTATCTATTATTTTCAGTTAATAATCTCTGTATGGGTTTGGTAGATTTGAAGGATCTCACAACCACAATAAAAATTAAGAAATAAACATAAATTATGCCTCTTTCAT